CTGTACAGAAGGGTCATTTTGGCCTGGAATCAAGAGATGGAGACCTTAAAATTATAAAAATCATGATAAAAAACTGATATAAATAAAAATATATTGTGAAAAGTGATGTAGATATACGTTTTTTTTTTATTTCTTTTATTGAGTTCATTCATATATTTTTTATAGGTAACAGAAAAAAATTGTCTCACTAACAGGCTGCTCAATATCTTGCCTCTCTCAAGCTTACATACTAATGATTTATTTAAATTTTTTGCAATACATTATAATTTCAACGAGGATTTTGTGTGTTTGAATTAATTTTAAGTTTATTTATTAAATTTTTTCATTTGATGTGGTGCGAATTTATTCGATCAACACTTGAAAATCTGATAAAATATTAATTATATAAGCTGGCTCATAAGTCACTTTACCAATTAAAAATTTAATAGGTTTTCTGTTTCTCGAAAATTTATTATGGAAAAATTTACAACGGAATGATGCATAGAAGTTTCTTCCAAAATCGGCATGGAGGCAGTATACGCGCACATGCCTGATTTGATGGCACTCAACTTTTCCTTTGTTATCCAAAGGACCGATTGTATGTCAACAAGCTCCCTAACCATCTGGCAGCTCGAAGACAACATTTGAAAAGAAATTCAAATGCCGAGCCTGTTATGGAAAAAGTTCATGTTTACAAAGGTAAAATATGGCTCGTTTAGTTGACGTTTTCCGTACATAGTGAATAAGTTTCCATTTTCTGTGCCTTATTATATATAAAAATACAAATAATTAAAAATTATAAATATATTCAAGTTTCAATTGGTAAAGTAATTTTTGAGCAGCCTTGTATAATGTTATAATTAAAACAAATAGTAATTTTTCTGAGTCATTACATCAAATTTAAACTTAATGTAATTTAAGTTTGCATTTGACATAATAATTTAAAAGAAACTGCAATTTTTACTTGAATTAGTTTCCTCTAAACTGCAGTTCTTTTATGTCAGTGACATTCAAACTATGGGTTATGACCCCAAAGACATTGCACGAAAAATTTCAAAAATAATAAAATGTAATATAGAAGTTAATTAAGAAATTAATTGGGGTTATATCAAGTTTCTATCAGAACATATGAACACTTCTCTATGTACTGTACCTGAAAGTTAGAAAAAACCGCAAATCTTACTTAAAGAATTGTAATTTTCTCTAATTTTCTTGCACTTGATGCAGCTTAGAACAATTCTTATTTTTACAAAGAAGAATGGCATAAAAAAATTTCAAACATTGGATAAATTAGTAATTTATATACCTTGGGATTTTTCTGACAATGAAAAATTGATGAAACTAAGTAATTTGTTCAATTATTCAATACTTTCATTGCATTAAACTGACATTAACAATCAAAAATTAGAGTATTAATTAACCAAAAGTAACCAAGTATCGTCTCGTGGCAAGTATCTTCTTTCCATTGTGTTATCCTAAATTTAAAAAGAAACATTAAACAAACTTTTATTTTAATTCTAAAATACATTCAGCATCCATCTCACTTTACTAACCAAGCATATCTCTTGCTCAGCTACTTCCATAATTCTTTTTATCTAGAATCAATAGTTTCTTTTCCTGTCACTGATGAATATTTTTCCACTTATATTAATACAAAACTTTTTCATTCCTGTTTAAATTAGTTTTCAAATATATCTTCTGAATCAAAATTTCATATACAGCGATGCAAGAGTCTTCTGCTTGGAATTTCAAATAAATATGATGATAAATTTCTAGCAGTCAAGACCATTTCATCTGCGCGGTAATCAATGAATCGCATACGTTTGGAATGATATAAAAAAATTAGTTTATAAAACATATATTCTAACTCATTTGTTGTAAATAGTTTGGAAAGTATTTTCTTTTAATTACTAAGTTAATTCAAAGATGTTTATATTACAAAATGTAAATTAGTTATAATCAATATTCTCCATTAGTAAATGTATGAGTAATTTGACTCTTATTAAAAAATATTTGTTAATTTGTTTAATTCCATTCAGGAATTAGGACTTTAAGAGATATTCTTTTTAATTATAATTATTTTTGATTTTGTTTATTCCTTTTAGCTTCCTTTTTAAGCACTATTGATTTTGTATGCACTGCTTTGTGGAAACCTTACTGTACAGAAGGGTCATTTTGGCCTGGAATCAAGAGATGGAGACCTTAAAATTATAAAAATCATGATAAAAAACTGATATAAATAAAAATATATTGTGAAAAGTGATGTAGATATACGATTTTTTTTTATTTCTTTTATTGAGTTCATTCACATATTTTTTATAGGTAACAGAAAAAAATTGTCTCACTAACAGGCTGCTCAATATCTTGCCTCTCTCAAGCTTACATACTAATGATTTATTTAAATTTTTTGCAATACATTATAATTTCAACGAGGATTTTGTGTGTTTGAATTAATTTTAAGTTTATTTATTAAATTTTTTCATTTGATGTGGTGCGAATTTATTCGATCAACACTTGAAAATCTGATAAAATATTAATTATATGTTACGTACTTTAAAATATATAAAATGATATTGAATATTGAAATAAAAACATTCATTTTTTCATAAAATATTCAAGATAAATATTTAATTAGTTATAATAAAACTAATTGTTTCATAAATATTCAAAAGCTCTTTGATAAAGTGTTGCATACAGCATTACTATTAGACCCTACCCAATTAAGTTTCTCTCTAAAAATATCTTAAAATGGAAATACATAAGTGATTAATATAAAAGTATCATTTTTAACAAAATATTATTTATTATAGCTCTAAGTTCATATTTTTTGTCATGATGAGTGACGTTAGTTAAAACGGAAAAGCAAGTGCACATAAACCATTTGATTAATTCTACAAGTTTTATGTATATGAATACAGTTCTTCTATTCTTCAGCAGAGTATGATGCATTCATTCTAATGTTTAAAAAATTAGACTGCAAAATTTAGTATCTTAGAAACAAAGTTGCTACTTAACAAAAATTTAATTTGTCAGTCAATCAGTAAAAATAACAACAAAAAAAAAAAATCAATAACGGCTGAAATTCCACTTCCAAGAATCTTAGGAATTTGTCAACTTGTACTTAATTAGTTCAAACTTAACAATTTACTCTAGAAGTCTAATTAATAATTTTCTACGTATTAATTATAGTTCCAGAGCAAATTCTGTTATTTGTGTAGAATAAAATTCTATATTTCATTAAAAAATACGTGACGAATTTAAAAACTATGGATTCCTTTATGTATTTTCTATTATAAATAAAATTTAAATAAACTTTAAAGACAGAAACTTCTAACTATTTTAAGAATATGAATTAATTTATATATTCTGTAATAAAAATTCTCTTGAGTAAATCTTATAGATGTAATTCATTCTCAAATGCAGAAACAATTTTAAGAAATATGAAAAGAGTATTTTATATGTATTTAACGTAATAAAAATGTATAAAGTCTGTTTGACATATATTACGTGTACTGTACACAGTATTTCTTGCATTAAAAAAGTTATAATTCACTATTGTAAACACACTGAATTTTCACTAGACTCAATAATAATATTTAAAATATTTTAAAAAAGTTATTAATATATATTATTATTTAAATTTATTATAATTAATGATACAATTCTTTATGAATGGAATAAATGCTATTTTATGCTTGAATAATTTTTTACAATTCAATGTAAATATATATTTTGATATTTTGTATATTTTAAATTTAAGTTATATTATTGTATATATTTTATGTATATAATGTAATATGAAATAATGTGAAGATAAATAGCTTCACAGTAGTGTATGATTGATTATTTCATGGACAAATGCAGCTCCGAGAGCTGCATGCGGCTCTTGCTGAAAGTATTAATTTCTGCTTTTTATTATTATTTTTACAATTTTATTTCCACAATTTTGTGAAAATATGTTTATTATAAAATTCAATATTTATTTTATATTATATTTATATTATATAATAAAATCGCAGTACAGAATAAAAAAGTACAGAACTGCGGCTCCCATACATTTTGCAAAACTTACATTTCGGCTCCCACTGAATGCTTGCTTGCCCACCCATCATATAGAAACGTTAACATTTATGCTATATTGATCTTCAATAGTTGTCAAAACATCAAATATCAAATATAAATACAAATATTTGTTGATATTGTATGTATGTATATATATATATATAACAATATCGACAAATATTTGTTGATATTATATTTGTAAATAGGCTGTAATACTTCAAATAAATTAAATATACGAACCAATTATAATTCTCAAATTGGGTTATATAATAACTTAAAATAGAATTTAAATGTTTCCAAACTTAATGAATTCGCACATCATATGAAGTGAATATTAATTAATTCATATCCCATATTTTTTCCGATTTTTCTAAAATTAATTACTTCAATTAATTCTATGCCTATTTCTGGTATTGAATTTGTGTAATTATTAATAAAATTTATTTTAAATTTGTCATAAATTATTCTGTAATTGAGCAAACTTAACAATTATAATTAATTTCAAAATTTATATCATAATTAGGTACAGTTAATTTAATCAATGAAATGATTAATTAATTTTAATGTGAAATAATTAATTACTGATTCATTTTCTGTTTTCATTTTTAATTCTATGAATTTACACTGAAGTAAAATAGTAAAAAAACAAAATAAATTTTTGTCGTTTGCAAAGACTTGTTTTTATTCTTATTTATGTATTTTTATTTTTATAAAAAATTATTATGAAAAAATATTAAAAATTTATATATTAATATTTTATATTACTGTATGACAATAGCAGAAATAAAACCAATATTGAGTGGGGCTCAATTGCAAAACATGCAAACCTAAATTCACCTCCATACAACTGTAGATGTAGCCATTAGTACAATGGATGAAAGTGATATTTTCAGATATTGCATTTACATGTGTATAAGTGTGCGTTTGCCACATTCAAATATTTTTCCAGTATTTATTTGATTTTCTTCTTAATTTATTTATTTACAAAGGTCTCCTGAATCCCCTCTCTGGTTACATTACTGATGCATAATGTGCATATAAATAGCATTAGTTTGATTATACTATTTTTTCCATGTTATAGTTATATGTAAAATTAGTACTATTTATTCATTTATTATATAATATAATTTATTTTTATATAATATATATTTTACAAAAACATGACCATTATGAAACAAAAGTACACTTTTGAGAATTTAGTAAAATTTAAATATTTAATGTTATTGTTAACAAATTAGTAATACATGTTTTAAAAATGAGATGATTTGTCATGTTAATAGATTCATGTTCTAATACATTATCGTGTATCAATTTTTCTTTGTAATCTTACCCAGTTTAGTACATCATCCACAAATTTAAATTTATGGAAAGATTTGTTTTGTCTTAATTAAGATAAATTTTAAATTCTGATTTTAAAAAACATTTTCTTAATTTTTACAAAACAGTACTTATTCAAATGTTTTGACATAATTAATTAGATTTTATTGCTGCCTTGATATGCAATTAATTATGTATGAAATCATTAATTAATTAACTAATATAAATAAGTTTTAAGTCAAAACTCAACATATGTCACCTATAATATAACTTTAAATACATTCTTTAAATACAAATTACAATAATTTTCATTTAAAAATGTATTATTCTTTTTATACAATGCAATACTTAAATTTATTATTTCATTTATAACATTAAATACTTCTCATATTGGGTTAAAAATACAGATCTCAATTTTACAGAATTGTTAATAAAAACAAAAAGTATTAAAAAATTCTCCAATAACAAACTAAACTTTGAGGTAGTAAATTTCATTTCTTTGCTTCAGTATACACATACTATATATATATATAACATTGTACAGTTTGTTAATCAATTAAATAAGAATATTTTTAAACAAGTCATTTAAACAGATTAGATCAATTTTTAACATATATATTACTTTATGTTAATTTTTATTGTATTTAAGTATAAATATAATAATAGCATTCCTTTTCATTATCCAAATTTAATTTAAATAACAAATTATCACAATAGTTTACAAACAGCCACCTAATAATAAAAATCAATTTGAGTAATCAATTTCTATTATAAAGTACTAAAACAGCTGGTCCTTGACTTTCAGAGTACTTATTCTTTCATATATAAAATTCTAATATCCCTAAATTACTTTCTGTACCATAACTTTTGGCTTTCGTACATTTTCAACCAACAAACAAATATTTTGAGCTATTGTACAGTGGTACTATCAATTTTGGTTTCAGTAGCATCAATATCATTGATGAAAAATTAATTTTTATTGTCCAGTTTATGTTTAAACTACAATTTTTATTGTTTTATGCATTATAAACATGTTCACTGTACAAAATTAAAACTTTCCTACCTCGATTAGATATTTGATAATTTTTATTTTTTCTCTCTCTGTGAACAAAAGCTCTATAACCTGCAACTCTATTGCTTGATTTTTTGGACAGTTTTAGGATATCCAAAAGTCAGGGACTGCCTGTATTGTAATTTTAACTTTTATATTTGAAAAAATCTCCAACCTTAGTCTTGAGGAAGATATAACTTGATAAGATTTTCATTTGTTGAAGGATAATTAGTAATTGGACAGCAAGAGTACTTCTGAATGTATTGGAAAATGCAGCGATAACAAAATACAAACCTGAAATAATAAATTAAGAATAATAAATAACTTTATTTTTTAAAATCAAATTAATTTATACTTTGTGTGTGATTAAATATATTCATTTTCTATACAAAAAAATCGTAATATATTATACAAAATACTTCTTAAATTCAGTCTAGGTAGATTTCTTATTACAGAAATTAATTCTAAACCTAATTTCTGTAAAAAGATAATTTACTTGGAATAACTTCATACAAATTTTAGACCGAAAGAATTGTAAATTTTATAATTTTAAATACTTTAATTTCTGAAATTGATATTAATATTTCGATTACTTTTTACCAGATCAATATGTTCAAAATTAAATAATAATTTTTTTACAGATAAAATAATTACGTAAACATAGTTAGTAGATACAAATGTCAAGTATTAATCATTTCAAATAAAAATAATTAAATTATAAATTTTCAAAATTTAATTAATTAAATTATTCTAAATCACTAATCATTAAATTATCAAGAGATGGTGATACACCTAATTGTAATGCTAAATTATCAGATCGTTAAATAATTTAATCAGTTTAATTATAATCCAGTAATTTTTAATGATATTATTAATAATTAGATAAATGAAAGTTTAGATTGAATTAAAATAAAACATGTCAAACATCACAATAAATTAGAATTAAAACTTGTAAATAATTAAACAACCGAGGATTTGAATAGAAGGTGATTATGATTTAGCAAATATTTCGGTTTCCAGAATTGATTTGTATATAATTTAATAAAATTTCTTCAATCATCATTAATGTTTCATCTGATATATTTTTCAGAAACTTAAGTAAACTGATATTCAGGGTATTTTCATTATTGAATACTTAATTAGAATATTATATGCCTTATGTATTTGCTGTCTAATTACTTTTATTTAAAGTCAATAAAAGAAATTAGAAGATAATAGATGATCTTGTTGTTATTTTAATTATGTGCTTAATAATGAAGACGCTCCAGTTATCAATTTGTTTAACTTTCCTAAAATATTTTGTGTATTGAAAACAGTAAAACTTGTCATTATTCAAGTGAAAAATCAAAAATAAAACTGCTTGTTTTTGGATAACTGACTATATTGAAATGCTTTTAACCTCTCTCTAGGTTATCTTCAGCACAAATCAAAAATGGAATGACAAAATAGAATATTTAGAGAACCAAATAATTCTATTTATATTCGTTTTCTATAAGCCACTCTCACATTAACGTATCATATAACATTATAAAAGTAATTCAGTACATTACATATGTTGTATCAATAAATTAAAAATGGAAGCAAAAAAACTACTTAAAATACCATAAAATCTTGGTTGTAGGCCTTCTTGGCATATAAATCACAAAAGCAAAAGTTGTAAAGAATGTTGACTTTTTTTTGTGGATAAGACATTCTCATAAAAGAACTGTAACAGACAACTTTTTTTGGCTATGTTTTTACATGCATTTGACAATTTTTGGCTACATTTAAAGTACTTTTGGTACATTTAAAGTAACTGAATACACATGCAAAGGATACAGATTTTCCAGATATTTTTGATAAGTAGTCACCAAAATGACTACTTATCAAAAATATCTGGAAAATCTGTATCCTTTGCATGTGTATTCAGTTCATTTCAATACTTACGACACATTAATTTGATCATTTTTATTTGGTTTTTCCTTAAATAAGAACATTATTGCAACTATATTAGTAATCATGACATTCCTGGAACAGAAAAGAGGAACTCATATTGTCCAAAGTTTAAATTATAAGTCTGCAAATTTACAGAAAGAGAAGGCAATAGGGAAGCCACTGGGAACAATGGAATTGATTAGACAAATGTGTGAATTGGTGCTTAATAAATCTCTTTCTCCAGAAAATATACCAAAAGCAAATATCAAAATGGTATAAAGCATGCAAATGGCTTCAACTCAAAAGAAAGAGATTATTGACATCAGGAAATGTAAGGAAAGAGTCAGCACAATAAGAATCAAGCTTAAAGCAAAATATTTTACAAGAGAACAGGGAATTTCTGACTTTATGGGACCTGATGGCTGGTTTCAAAATTTTATAAACTGCAATGCTTTCCATATACAGGTTCAAACTACAGTTGGGGATTTGTTATCAGCTGAGTGGGAAGAAAAACTTTCCCAGTTCCACATTTTTGCTGTAGTTATGAAAGCAACTGTGAATTATGAAGATGTGATTAATACGGAAAAGGTTCCACACTGTTTCGATTTTCCAGAAACTCACAGTATAAACATAATAGGTGAAGAGGATACTTCTATAAAAACAACAGAAACAGAAAAGTCTTGAATTGCACTGATTTTGTCAGTTTCTGTAAGCAGAGAAAAACTGGCTCCCATAGCAATGTTTAAATAGAGTATTCTTCCTACAAAAAATTTCCAACCCAAAATTGTCATGAAAATAAATAATTGAGTGAATGCCAACTTTATAAAACAGTGGCTGCAGGATATATGGTATAAACATTTTCAACTGCTTTTTTTTTTTAAGAAATCAAAGCCTGAAGAATGCCTTCTAATCTATAACAAATGCAATGAATTTATAGGATGAAATGAAAGCTGAAGTTCAAAAGTATATCCAGTTGGCAATATTCAAAAAATACTACAAACTTTCAATACTGCAGTCAACAAATCTTTATGCAATAGTGTTGGGATAATTGGATAACTGATGACATGGCAGCCACTGTTACCCAATCAGGAAATTGTTGACATGCATCCTATGAAACAGTTTCTCAGTGAGTGTAGCAATCCCTGGAAAGATATATCAGAACCTGCCATAAAAAAAGGTTTTAAAAAGGCAGAATTTGAAATGTACTACCACAATGAAATCACTGACCAGCAGAATGATGATGAGAATTGAATTGGTGATAATGTGATCTTAGACCAGATTACAGAAACCATATTGAATTTCAATGGTGATATTTTGTCAATCAATTCAGAATCTGATGGCAACAAGTTGTTAGATAATGATTTTGATGGATGACAATGCCAATGCATCCTATAAAATGTAACTTGCTGTAATAAATTTTATGAAAATAAAAATTCCAATTTTTTATGGAAATTTTACTGAATTATTTTTACACTGTAGTTAAGTAATTACCAGTAATCAGATATTTCATGCATTAGTCATCCTTCTGTATAGACCACATACAATAATTTTACAAATATAACCTTGTATAAGTCATAGTCTACAGCCAAGTTTTAGGGTATTTATTTATTATTATTTATAGTTTGATACTAATTTATCATTATTTATAATCACTGTTCTCTTCTATGCAGTTTTGAGTAATGAGACTTACTGTATAGTACATGAATTGTTACAAACATTATGTAATAATGGATTATTGATCCTGACAAGTTCTTGTTTTGTTTTATGGATTAATAAATATTTGAAGGATTTAAATCAATGTATTTAAAATCAAATAAAAACCTCATAAAATCTCAACCAAGTAACAAGTCTACTTGGATATTTTAAAAATTCTTTTTATTACTTTTATATCTTTTTAAATTTAATTTTTAACAAATTTTTTTGTTATAATCTATTCATAATTTGAACTTTCTAGAGGCAACCAAATCTGGTATGGTGACATTTCCATAAAAATAATTAATATCAAAACAAACCACTATGACACTTTTGGCATTGCAAGCAATAAACATTTTATACATATAAGACATATACATATAGTGAGAACTGCTTAACATAGTTTCCATTCTGAAGATGTAAAACCTAAAACCAATGAACAGTGTGTTCAACAGTTGACTGTAAATGATCATTTGTGATGCTTCTCATATACTGTATGATACTACCAATCTTGCAAAAAGTCCTCAATAAACTACACTTTTTGTGTCCCTTCAATCAAAAATCACACAAATTAAGATCAGAGCAAAGTGGTCACACAATAGAAAATACATGACTAATCACTTTATTATCAGTGAAATATTGTTGAAGAAACCAATGTGTAAGGAGTAAATTGTATGGAAGAAATTGACTCAAGGCACTGTCACTGTTGCAGCTGCATTACAAGTGTTGAACGTCTCAATATCTCTGGGCCATCAAAGAGCATGTTACAGGCCCAATAGGACTAGCTTCTTCAAAGAAGAATGGTCCAAGAATAAATGTGACTGTAAATCCACACCAAACTGTAACTTTAGAATGCAATGGAATTTGCTGGAAAACATGAAATCCAAATGGTGACAGTAACAGATTTTAACTGTTTCTTTGTGATGAAAATGTGTCTTATTCCACATAGAAAATACACTTCCATTCTGGAAAGGAAGGTTAATGCAAAGGTCAGTTAGATTCTCTACTATCACAAACAACTGTTGGTATGACTAATATTGTATGGATAACAACATAACAACTTTCTTAGTATCTTCTACACTGCTATAGGATATACCAACTACCATGATGCTTCACGTGCACGCTGGGGCATGCAATGTTATTCATTGACTGTTCAACAACAGCTGTGGTAGCATCTTCGATGACCTGTGCTGTAATAGGTTTCTCTCCTCAATCAGAATGAACTCGTAGACATCAAGACATCTAATTAAATGATCATTCTCCTAAGAGCTTCAGGAGTCACTAGTCCTTGGCAAAAATTCTTATGATGACAAAATTCTCAAAGTAGTAAAATAATATGCCATTGTTTTTATAAAATAACTTCACAAGAAATGCATATGGTGGCAAGATGATAACTATCATAGCTCGTAAGAATGACAGTCACCCATTATAACTAACTGCAGCCAATTATTGGGTATTTTACCCAATACTTGGCTTCAATGCCTGTGCTTATGTAAAGGAAACTCTTTTTTTCATTGCTTGTAACACCTAGAGTGCCATAATGGTAAGTTTTAATACTAATTTTTTTTATGGAAATGATTTCCAGATGTCCTGAAAGGCGTCAATCTGGATTTGGTTGCCTCTGCAAATCTCTACACAGCATTGAATAGTAGAACTTCAATTACAATCATTTGATATATTCATTATTTTACTTTTGACTTTTTGTATAGCTACAGCAAATCATTAATATGTTTTATTCTTAAATTCAATATTTATATATGTATTTGTATTCTGTCATAATATACATACCCACTGGTGGATAGAACGGTTTCATTTCTTCGTTTTTGATGACAGAGTGGACAAATTCCTTTATTAAATTTCAATGGCCACTAAATAAATAAATAAATAAATGAATAAACAACTCAGTACATCTATCAACTCTGACCACTAACATAGTGTAATGATAATTATAAAAAAATTTTCTAAACAATAATAATATTTAATATTTTATAGTTAATGAAATAAGTATTAATAGTTAATGATTCCAAAGGAAATCCTTGTGTAATAAAGGATTGTGCATTAATAACATCAATGCTACAAGCAATAATAACATTTAATATTTTATTGTTTGAAGCATTAATGTTATTAATGCACAATCCTTCATTACACAAGTCCTTTGGATTCATTAACTTCTAAAGAAATGCAAATTTTCAGAAATTAACTGTCTTACAGTAAATTTCATGAAACCTAATCCAATAATGAATAGTCTAACAATTTCGATTTTATTTTAAGGTTCAACTAAATATAAAATAACTGTAAATTAAATTATAAAAAACATTATAAAAATATCTAATATAACTGAATATTTTACATAATTATGCACAGATAAAATGTTTCAACAATTCTTTAAAGTAATTATCACTTCTTCAATGTAGTGAGTGATTTAGAAAGACAAGTTTTCTAAGTAGAACAATATTTACTGGCCTGGTATGTAGTTAGAATATCTTTACAACAAAAATATTTTTCTAGGATATTAGTTATAAATTCACAAAATAATTTTAGAACTCTTTTATAATCAGGGACCTAAAACTATAAGTATGCTTATACATAAACCTGCCTCTGCCTCAATTAATAAATGTCGTAAATAATCAAATAACTTAGCTAAAGTTATATTATAAAAAAAATTAATTTACCTTTTCTGGAGGTGGAGGAATAGGAAATTGTGAAAAATATCCTGAGTTATCTTGACTATACCACCAATCTAAAAACTGTAAAAAGAAAGCCCCAGTAGACAGACTAATGGAAATACCAGCTGCTAAACTTTTAATTCCTATCTGAAATACGTTATACGGAAATCCTTTCCATCTGAAATTAATACAATATAATTATTATTATTTATATTCATTTTGCACCATTCTTTTATTAATTTTTTATGTAACATATTTAAAATTATATATTTATCTAAATTATTGCAAGAAAAATCATATTTATATTTTTTAATAAGTCAAAAAGATATTTAAGTAAATATTTTAAAGGATCTCCAGATCTTCTACTGATTTCAAATAATTTATTTAGAAAGATTTTCTAGATAAAATCAAACTCTTTTTGAACATTATTAAATTTGGAAATTATAATATTCATAATGAATGTTATTTGTTCTAGAAATTGCTATTCTAAATAAACTATTGAAATCTGCAAATGAGATCTGGAAAGCCTTGAAAATATTTATTTAAAATGGTATACTGTTTGTTTGTTTATTAAGTTACGACAATGCAACACTTGGGTGATCTGCGTAAGGGGGATGTCTTCTGAGAAGTCTTTTTAAAGATAACTGGCCCCTATTCAGACATTACAGACATGGAGAAAACTCAGAAAACTCCACATGGCCAGCCTGTCCTGGTGAGGTGCAAACACACAACCAACTTCCAATGTTCAGAAAATGGAACCGCTTGGCCACTGGTGGGACTTAAAATGGTATACCATGATGAAAATATTGCTAGAGCTAAAAAGTTATGAATTTTTAAAAATGGCCTCTAACAATATTGTTAATTTGAAAGATGCTGCATCATTGCCAAATGCTGGAAATCAATTATCATTTGACTTTTTAGAAAATATTTTCACATGTTTGTATTTAGTTCTATTCATTTATTCAATTTATTCAGTTTAAATGTTAGTTTAATTTAGTGGTTATGTTTTCACATGATTCTTAATGTTAAGTTCTTACTTTCAACTCATTTCCATGTGAACAGTGTACAACATAATGCTGTTCAGTCAGATTCGAAGATTATTTTTCAGAGTCTGAAGCTGTAAGCATTCACATATTCACTTATTTATTCACTTCCTCTTCACTTTAATTAAGCATTATCCAAGTTTATATTTATTTCAAAGTATATATATTGTTTTTTGTTTGATAAAAAATTTTTCTGGCATCTTAAGAAATATAAAATATTCATTACAATGTTTAAATTTATGTATTTATTAATGGAGTTTTATTATATGAGGGCAGTATGATATTCAAGGTATAGGTGTTGCTTATACATAACTTGTATGTGCAAACTCAATGTCACAGGCAAATATGGCTATGTGGCAAAGAGTAATAGTAACCACACACACACTGTTGTCCTTTATCCATTGAACTGAATTTGACAAGTAAACAAAATGGAATAATTTTCAGTTACATCCTTCAAATTCAGCAGTAATAAATTCAAATATGGCCAAACTTCACCAATTGATGATTCAGAAGAACACAGGCAGATAAAGGACATCAAGCATTGATAAATGTTGTGTCATTATCAAAGGTTTGATAGAAGGGTCAAAGTTCATAAAATCGCTGAAATAAGGCATTCTAAAAATCATTGTTTGTGACATCACCTCAGATTTTGTAAAGTGGCTTGTTGCTGGATTCCGAAACTGCTCACTGAGGAGCACAAAAGCAAAGAATGGTTACTTCACTTTGAAATGACCATTCTTTGTTCAAAATCTCTGCTGTTACCAAAAAGAAGAACCAAAAATGTGTAAGGTCAAAAGCATTTGTTTAATGAATTATTAAAGTTTTGTCACTGAAAGTAAAGGTTATTTATTGTTATTAAAAGAAGAACCTTTTATAATAAACATCATTATAGGAGATGAAACATAGGTTTATGAGTTCACATTAGAGTCAAAAAGAAACTGACATGGAAACGCCATGATTCACCAGTTGCCAAAAAGTTTAAAGTTTAGCCACCTGCAAGAAAAACAATGGCAAATGAGTTCTGGGATTGTAAAGATATTCTGCTGGGTGAATTTCTCCCACTAAATGCAGTAAATTGCATGAAGTCATTAAACAGAAGAAACCAAGGCCATTACAGACTAGACTGAGGCTTCTGCATGATGATGCCAACCTCACACAGGGTGTCAAACCAGAGAAAAGCTTAGTTGGAAGTTCTAAGGCATCTGCTGCATAATCTTAATCTATCCCCATCAGATTTCCACCTAAGAGGTTTCTGTACAAGTCAATTATCAAGAAAAAGATTCAAGAACTAAAACACATTGCAAACCACACAGTTGTACAATACTTCAAGATACACGAACAGGAAAACTACGAGGAAGAAATGTTTAAACTGGTGAAATGCTGAAATAAATGCATGAATCTGCATTCATACTATATGTAGAAAAATAAACATTTATGTTTACTATTTACTAAATTTTTCAACATTTTTTTTTTGCAATATACTTGTACATGTTGATTTAAGTTTGATCTGTAACTTAATTATGAAACAGCTCTCATATTATACTATACATCAAGTACAGTATTACACATCAAATTACATATAAAATATTATTCACATATTCATTGAAGTAACCTAATTTAAAAGACTAAAATTTATAAAATATAACTTTTAAATATTTTATCATCTTTTCATAAAATTAAAGTTGTCTTAATTACTTAAATACATAAAAATAATTTATTACAAAAATACTGTACAAAAATATTAAATTTATCATTAAAATATATCATATAAGAGAAGCAGCTATCATACCTGATATTTTTATTTACAATTGTTTTCTTCTTTTCCAAAAGAATCTGATCTTCATGAGTTAACGTTCTCAACTGAGTATTAGATATATGCAATAAAGGACTGTGATAAGCACTTTTACCTATTGCATAGCTTACTTGATAAACAAGATTTATAAATTCCAATGAGAAATGAAAATATGGATAGCATTTTATATAAAATTTTGCTAGCTTTCTTGTTCTGTCCTATAAAATATAAAAGACGAAAGTATTAAAAAATTAAATTATGACAAATTTAATTTTTCTAAACAAGTTTTTAATATTTTAATAATAATATTTTTTTATTTTTTATACATAAAATAATTAAATTTGTCTATTGTTTATGAAAAAATTATTATTTTCAGATTTAATTTCAAATAATTATAACATTTATATAGCTAGTTTCATGAATAAAATTACTACAAACATTTGATCAAAGTTCAAATTCTTTCAAATTTTCAACTGTTCTTGAATTAAAGTGGATGAAAAATGAAATGTTTGAATTATTCTTTTACCTTGTGAAGAAGAACTAAGAAAAGCTTGAAAGTGATAGTATCAGATAGAGTTTGAGAAATGTTAATTGTGATATAAGATTATTAATATATTATATTTATGTTAGAAATAATTCTAAGCAACCTTATTCAAATTTGGATTAGAGTTTAAGGAATATCTTTACATGTAATTAGATTCAAATATATCAAGCCTGTGTTATATCCATTAGTGATCAGACTTATAAAATTAAGTCTAGTTGCATAAATTATAATGCATAGGTGTCTCTTGTAAACATGTCAATTGATGTCCACATAACTTTTCTACATACTTATATATATATTTTTTTAAAATCAATTTTTAAAATCTATAGAATGGCCAAGAAAATGTGTTAAGAAGTAATGTGACACTATTTTGTTATTACTGGATTTACTGAAATGTTTTCAAAAACCTAAAGCAATAAGTGAAATTAATGCAGCAGATTTTCAAAATGGCCATCATCACTGCAGGCTGCACTACAGAAGTGGAACTGGAATTTGCTAAGAATGCTTTCCAGTATTTTTTGGTCAATAGTCTGAATATCATTTTCAATGGCTTTTTGAAGTCTTCAATAATTTTGGAGCTAGTTTGGAAGATTCAGTCCTTCAAATAACTCCTCATATAAAAAGTCACATGGGTTAAAGGTCAAAGCTATATGGCAGTTGTTCTCCAAAGTAATTCAGTGTGGATATGTACTATCCTGCATGAACTAGATGTTGACTATCCAATGATGTCTTGCCATGGGTCTCAAATATAATATTTCTACACTATAAATAGTCATTTCTCAATGCTGAGAAACTCCAATTTGAAAAGGCATTTTCAAGAAATGGAGTCACTTTCAAATTTCAACCTCTATAATGTACTATTTACATAAAAATAGCAACATCAGAGCATTCAGTAAACTGACAAGAGCATTTCACTTTTTGACATCTTTTCCTGGCCACTATGTACACTGCTTAATAAGTAAAACAAAATATTTTAGAAAAACTGAAGAAAAAATGCAAGTCATTTTGATATTTTATTATTAAATATAAGGCTAATAAAAATTAATATATGATATTTTAATAATACAAACCTTTCTACGTCCAAGGTCACCAGAAAAATCTTTATCTTTCAAACTGCTATAAAGCAATAGCGACTGAACTCTAATGTAGGGAACTAATGTCAACAGTAATAGTGAGTAATAAAAATGTTTTTTAGGCAGCCAATTCTTTTTTGATTTTTGCACTACTTTATATAAACCAACTGGCATACGTTTCAAGCCATAGAAACTTTCTGCAAATGATGCACCTACATATTAAATGATCAATTAAATAAATCAGTACATAATTTTATATTATCATAAATAATTAAATACATATTATTTAAAATAAACTCTTAATTAATTAGAACAGGTTTACGCCTGTTGGATATTTTATTATTATTATTATACTCGTACTGTATTTGTATAAAAGATTCTTTGTATGATTTTGTTCAATTATTATTACACGTATATTATAAATAAATGTAAAATATTGTAAAAACAGATGTTCCAATGTTTTGGTTTAACCTGAGGATGGCATATGGATTAAGCTGAAAACATTAGTTTGTTTTCAATAAATTATTTCAACATAAGGTGTGTTTTGATAATCTAATTATTGTTCATTTCAATGTTTAAAATGTAAGGAACCAAGTCCGAGCATTATTTTTATTTACTTTTATTTTGCTTTTATTATATTTTTGTTTTGGGCTTATGTTTAGTTACGATGAAGGTTTCCTCACCCGTCACCTTGGAAAGTTAAAAAGAGAAGATAAAACCAACTCACCAACGAAAAAAGAAAGTGCCATAGCTCACCCTCGCACTCACGTGCATGCCCGAGTGGCAGATAGTAAGTCCGCACTAACGGGGGGGACAGACCCCACAGACTTTTAGGAGACTTGTTAAACCTTAAAGGAAACATCCTGATAACTGTTCAACAAAAGACTGTAAAAGGTTAACAAAGTATTGTCGGGAATTAAGCTACCAGATAAGTAAGAAAAAAGTGAATGTTACGTATAAGTATGTAAATGAGGGGAGTGTCTCACTTAGAAACTGTGACGTCACCTCAGACTATAAATAGTGTAGCTCAAATGAAGACATCAGAGGTGAGCTCCTGAAAGGAATAAGCATTGGTCTGCTAGTAGCAGTGAACGAGATGTCCAATAGGAAATAGTCCAAGGCGATTGCAGTTTTCGATTTGTGGATCGAGGAATAGGAAAAGGCTTGAGTTGGAAAAAGGTTCCTAGTATAATTGAGGTGACGGTTAGGATTTGTAGTTGTAAGAAATTCTGTACCTTAAGTTAAGGATTGATTTTGTCGGAATTCCAAGGGGAATAGTTCTAAGTTAGAATAAGATTGAGTTTTGTCGGGTTGACTTTGGATTTGATTTGATTGAATAAATTTGTTGCTTGTTATAAATATTGTAAATAGTTATTCCTAGATCTTTATTAAATATTTTTTGATTTGTGACTAACTTGTCTTTAATTTACTTTGGTGCACATGAAAAGTCCAGGCCTGGCAAACTAACAAACGCGAACCTGCATAAAGTACCCGTTAGGTACTGGCTCTTTTCGGAATGAAAAATCGTTGTAGAGCGATAAGTTAAAAATAGTACTTTACAATAATTTATTTAATACTCTGAACACAACACTTTTGAAGATTCCAAATGTGCATAAGGTAAACTGGACTTTTACCATAAACAATTGACTACTTTAGATTCATCAGAGACCATCCAAAAGACAACTTTGTCAAATTCATGATTGTCATGTTCTAATGTAATAAAACTAGTGAATGTGAAATTTCTAGTTTTGATATCATAATGACTAAACTAGTGGTGATATATTTTTTAGAATGGATTGGCTTTCAAATAGCATGAAAAATCAGTAGTAGTTTGTTTAATTCAATGCTTAAGGCAAATATTTCAAAACACAATAGAAGTAAAATAAAAATTTTATTAAATGCTGCAATACCACAAATGTTATACTTTTCCATACATTTCACTTAAGTTTGTAAATATGGTTTAATTTGGAAGATTACAATTTCTCAACCAATTTTTCTAAAATTTTGTATAATCTCTTTCTGCTGCTCTTTTTCTTCAACTCTCATCAATCTTATTAGTCAAAAGTTCTGGCAAACTTTCTTCCCATTTTCTTCTTTTCTTGTTTTTTTTTTATTTGATGTTGGCTTTGCAGTCGTTACAGGGAATGATAAATTTGACTGCACTGAATGCAATGAATCATTTGATGGTGTTGGATGATGATGATGATGATGACATCAATATTTTATGTGATATGAGTCCTTGACTGCTGTCAAATGTAGAGTTATATATGGTCTTCTTCCTGTTATGTCCTTCATAATACTAAAGTATTCACAATACTTTCTGTCATTTTCTGTTTTATTATTATGGTCATAAATTTTCTTAAATGTTTTTTTCAACCCCCTCCATTGCACTGTCACTTTAATCTTTTCTGTTGAGTTTAATTGGTCAGAAATCATTGCCCATACCTATAAATGAAAATTTTCAATTGTTATTCCATATACAAAAAGTTTAGAAAAATTTCAATAAAATTAGCTGACAAACTCTCCTAGTTAAATTAAATTTAGATTTTTTTTTCATTTTTTGCAAAAGAATATCTTTAACAATACTTGAAAAAATAATGTAACTGCATATAGTGATTATACAATCACCACGATACTACTGGTATATAATTAAATAAAAATAAACAATTACCATTAAATCAGCAATTAATTGTCATTTATGGAAGAAAACGTTTGTTTAAACAACAATTAATTGCTGGTTTAATGGTAATTGCTTATTTTTATATAGTAATTATGCAATTTGTTAATTGAAGAGAAAACAAAACACACATATCTTATTAAATAAAATAATAACAAATTTAACAATTACAAAATTAATCTATGCTACATAGATTAATTTAATGATTTAGATTTTCTTTTGTACATAGTTGAATAAAGTATAAGTAGATAATGACAATTTTCCTAAGAAATAACATACAGAGAACAGATGAGGTTGGAATTTATAGTCTACAATTTTTGAAAATTGCAGCCCAAAATGTAGTATGTACTTGTTTCTGAGTATAATGTGAAGAATCAAATTTTTCTTTATACTCCTTCACTAATGAAATTAAACTCAATATTGCTCAATGAAGTCACTGGAATGTGCTGTTATAGTCTAAATCAGGGATGTCCAATCCGCAGCCCGTGGGCCGCATGCGGCACAAGGCAAGTTCCAATGCGGCCCAATAAACGTGGTAAACAAAACTGACAAATGCTTTAATTTTTTTATTATTTATTTATTTCAATGGCATAAAGTCAAAAAAGAAGTTTCACAAAGCCATAAATATTTGTTTATATTTTATTTTTTAGTGGAAAGGAAATATTGATATTTTCAAATACTTGGAGATGTGTGAATGAGGAAGGATTACTAAATAAAGCTGGAGTTGTGACTCAAAGGATTATAGACCCAAATTTGGAAAAAGAAGGAAAAGGACAAAAGATAAAAAGTAGTGAGAAAGGTTAAATAGATTTATTTTCCAACCTTTCTCACTTCTTTATCTTTTGTTCTTTCTCTCCTTTCCCAGCATTTGAGTCTATAATCCATTGAGTCATAACTCCAGCTTTATTTAGTATTTCTTCCAGTGTTGCAAGATTTGGTTACATTATGCCAAATGTGCCTACTATTTTTTAATTTGACATAAAAAACATCATTTGTTGCTTTGGCTACTTTTTAGACTACATATTATTTATAAATATATTAGTTTAATAAAAATGCACTTTAAAATAGTGTTTTGTCTCTTTTTTATTAATTAGAGACCCAAATAGAACAAATATTTGTGTTTTTGAAATAAATTTTCGTTTGTCTCTTTTATAATATTTTTATAATAAATTTATCTATTTCTAAGTAAAAATTGGAAGTGTCTGAAGAAAAATTTTTTTAAAATATCCTTTTTCATGATAAAGATTTAATATATTTATAATCTAGACATGTTAATCCTTAAATATACTTGTATATTGGGCCACAAATATATATTATATATACTTTTGGCCCAAAACTCTTTGACTTCTTCCAATTTGGCCCAGAGAAACAAAAAGGTTGGACACCCTTGGTCTAAATCATCAAATTCCATATTAAAATAAAAGTATGTCAATGATTTGAAATTGTCATATTAGATAAACATTTAAATTCTCTTAATACATACATACATACATGCATACATACATACATACATACATATATATACTGTATATATACCTGGATTTACTGTATCAGATACATTTTCTTTGTTCCTAATGTATCTTTACATCTTCACTTTCTGTAGAAACATCTGAATTACATTTAATTATTTTCACATTAATATCTGCTGGTAATCCAAGTTGTTCCTTCATACCATATTCAAATACCACTTTATGAAAGAAGTCATCTAGTGCTACTGAACCTTACAATAAAAAAAAAGTAAAGATCATTGTAAACATTTAAATACAATAAATAATTGAAATTTACCTTTAGAAATATTTTCCTTTTCCAGTAACAATTCCATTTTCATTTCTTTGCACAAGAAAGACATTTTTTTTTTGTAGGAGCAGCCATATTAAATTATCACAAAGCTCAACAACTAGCTAGCTAGCACTCCAAGTTTACCAATTCCACTAAAAACATCATCACACAGCTCTAAAGTAAATGCCAATGAACAAAAGGGATCAAACATAAGTATACAGGTTGAGTATACTGACAGTGAAATTAGCTCAGAAGTAAATGTACCCTATGAAACACCCATTTAAAAAAATTAACTTATTGATTTGAAAGAATAATTATATTCATTTTAAAAAAATTTTTTAAATTTTCTGAATTACAAGTATGAAAACTTTTATCACTGTAATTCAACAAAATAATTATTTAACTCATTCAATCAAGTGTCGAATATCTTGTGACTAATTTGTCTCTACAAAAATATTCAAATAACCTGATTAGTTCTGTAATACTAATTCTAAAATATTTGATTTGATCGTTGGTCGAATTTCTCATAAGTAAAAAGAATCTTCAAATACCGGATAAATATAACAATAACCACTTAACAAAACCAATGACCGGTATTAAATAATTGTACAGTGAACTGCAAATGTTTTCGTTCCTTCACTAGGACCTTTCTCAAGCAGCGATTTGTCTTTAGAATAAATATGAACGAAGACCAGTACATTGCGACATTCGAAAAATTATTCTTCCGAACATTTCAAAAATCGAAATTAAACGTTAACGTGAATCACGTGCATTCCCGAAAACCGTAAATATGTGAGGCCCCAAAAATGAGTTGAAATTAAATATTTATTATTAGAAATTTATTAAAACGAAACTAGAAAAAAATCGTCTATTGTTAAAAACCGATCAAAGATCGAATTAGTTGTGTTAGTTATATGAAACCGCGACGAGAGAAAAAAAAAACGCTATTGATGTAAACGGAACACAATAATTTAAAAACGATTAATAATTGTAAACAAACGACCTCCAGTAGAGATGGACCTTTGAAAATTCGCTCATATGCACATAATTAGAACATAGAAATTTTGAAAAGAGTAAAGATTAACGATGAAAAAGGACATCGCGTCGTGTCGTTAAATTTCAAAAACGTCACAGACTAGATAACAATGGTGGAAAATATGAGCGCAAGTTTCAAAGTTCCATCAACATTTTGCATCCAGAGTTACGGATGGTGTCAAGTAAATTCTTCAAGGCGGATCTTTCTCATGACTCGAAAAGGAATCGTTTTCGCTTAGAGACAGACGAGGGAGCCAATCAGAAAACAAATTAGAGAACGGAGATTGATATAATCCCCGATCTTCAAGGACAAAGGGACTTCTTCCGTAAACAGTGCTACAGAGTACCTGCACTCCAAAAAGTCCAAAGCGAAACTCTCTGTGTGTCGACGCCCAGAAGAAGAAAATTCCCAACTAGTGTCCAACGAAAGAGCCGTGCCACCTACGCCTACCGACAAGTCCTCTTACCTGCCGCAGCCCCGGGGTCCATCTTGGAGTGACGATAGAACATACGAACATTTAATTAATTAAGAAACTTTGTGATTAGTGTAAGTCAAATTTTTATGTGTAAAATATACGGGTTTGTTGTGAGATTCTTGTCATCTGTGTCTCCTCCGCCACACCCACACGCGTTCGACCCTAGATCATTCTGACGCGGGATTAACGATTTCCCCTGGAAGTCGGCGAACTTACAAATATAATTAATAAAAAATAATAAATAAAAATAAAAACAAAAAATGGTTGCGCGATAATAGTATTACGGTGATCAAAGCTGATAAAACCAAAATGTTGGTCTTAATGAAAAGAAGCACATATGAAAAGGAGATGCAAGAATACATTAATGATACGAGATGCGTCGTACAACCCAACAACGTTATTGACAAACTACACAGTAAGATCAAACGCTTCTCTAACTCTAAACTGGCTTCTACGTTAGGAATGCGGGATATTGTAATGGACGCACCTGATACGCCCAAACTTTTCGCGCTTGCTAAAACGCATAAGCAGGGACACAAATTGAGACCTGTGGTTGATAAGGCCACGGCCCCTACTCGCAAATTGGAAGCATTTATGCACGATCTCATCTCTCCTAAGTTACAGGATTACCAATACTCAATCTCCGATCCTGTTGAGTTAATAGCTTGCCTCAAAAACACCGAAAAACCTGCGTACATCTCTGTTATGGATTTCCGTGCTTTATATCCCTCCATCCAATTACCACCATGTTTTTGCGCACTCAGAGATTTTCTATTCCGTAACGTTTATCACCAGGAGTTACACCAGCAAGTACTTGAACTAGCACATTTGATCTGCTACAGCTCTATTTTTCAATTTGGTGGAACTACATATGCGCAGGGCAGAGGCGTACCTATGGGAAGTGCGGTCTCAGGCGACCTTTGTGAACTGGTAATAAGACAGCTGGAGGATAAAATAATACCTAGTTTCTCCCACGACATCTTATTATATAAGCGATACATAGACGACATCATTATTTTGTGGAGAAACGACCCAGACATCAACCACTTTATTAATCAGATGAACGACAATCCTTATGGCCTTACCTTAGAGCTGGAGCAACATAGTAATAAAGATGTACATTTTCTTGATTTGAGCATTGCGTTTGGGGGAGACACCTTGGAAACTTCTGTTTATCGCAAAGCTTGTCACTACCCAATGTATATCCCAGCGAACTCCTGTGACCCATTCAGATATAAAATGGCGGCTTTTAAAGCACTGGTTAAGAGGGCCCACACCCATTCTTCAACTCAGGAGGCATTAGTTCAAGAGGTGAACTATCTACTTAACATCGCCGGTCAGCAAGGATTCTATAACATTGTCCGTAAATTAGCCCAACAATACAGCGTTGGCCTACCATCGCCACAGAAGGGGAATACTATGGAACAAGACCGACCCATCACAAACGTCACATACAACCCCTTTCTCGTATCCTTATACCAAAAAATCGCTAAAAAACAAGGATTACGACTGTCGTTCAGAAGATGTCTGTCTATGTTTAAGCTTTTACGCAATGAAAAAGATAAACCACACAACAAACAAAGATAAAACACACACACACACACACACATTCATTTTTATATATATAGATTATTTACTAATGTTAAATTCTATTCCGCTTCGATTTCCAAATTGCTTCAAATACGAAAGAATCGACGATTTTTCGTGTCTTTTGCCAGCTAAATTGTCAAAGACATTCTTATTCCACACATTAATTTCACTCTGTAAATGCATTTTTATGCATTTAAAGAGCCATTTTATCGTGAAAATATCGAACAAATTTTTTTATTGAAGCATTTATATTTAACTTAGGCATTGGCCGTTCTCTTTTAATAATGTTTTCTTTTTCATTATATGATCTCGAGCCAAAACTTTTTTAAAATAAATTTTCAATATCGCAATTACATTCCGAATCGCTAGC